CAGAATTCAGAGCTGGCTGGAGAATTCTGGGAGTTGAAGTCCACAAGTCTTAAAGTTGCCAAGTTTGGGAACCACTGGTCTAGAGTAAACCCATATTCAACTAGGGGTGGAAGATTTCCATCAATGACTAGAATCCTTCATCTCTTTCATATTCTAGCCAAAATTATGACAAATATATTTGGCAGTAAAGTAATTACCTCTTATCACTCTTTATGAAATTCATGTATATTCCTCTCTACAAAAGATGATTCAAGAATGGGACCAGGATTCCATGTGTACATTCTATTACTAGATTGAGACTGAGACGTGGAAATCAAATTAATTCAACTGTCCTTCCTAAAATTGTGCCCTCCATTAAAGTCTTGAACTTCAATATTCATTCCCAGACACCAAAGAGAACTTTGTGTCATTTCATTGGAGATACATATATAATCAGTCCTGCGCTGTTTATGGGAATATTGCTGCTAAATTATTTAATTCCACTGTATAACTTAAAATCCTTTCTTTTAAAAACTTTCAAGAAAAATAAATGTGTGCAGCATAGAAAAATCATTGCAATAAAAACCTTTAAAATGGTCCTCTTTCCATTTTTATTTTAAAGAGCTGTAAACTGTGACTAAAAATTGGTTACTTGGGCATAGTTTATGAATAGATCTACACTTTTTAAATTATAGTTACCTACTTCCAAAGTGATATATTCTTCAGTATTATGACAAATTATGTGATAATTAAAATGTACTCCTGCTGTGATGAGTAGATTTATTAACTGGACATTGATAAATGTGAACAGCTGATTCTTAAGCTTGACCATTTGAAGGTCACCACAACAAAGTCAAACAGCCTGCTAAGATTATTCTGAGGTTTATTTTCCTGTTTTAGAGCCCTGAAGAAATACATTCCTTTGGAACAACGTTCCTGTTTCATAATTACACAAAAGGCATATGATTCAGTGTACCTTTGCACTGGCCAAGTAAAAGAATCCAATACGATCTTGCTGCATAAGGTGTATATGAGAATATTTCTTTAAAATGGGCACCGTGCCAGCAGAACAGTTTGCTACCTGTATGTCCCTCATACAGGCTGGCTTCAGAAGTCAGAAGCCTATACTTGCTTTCTACTCCTGCTCTCTACTTTGTGTGCTTGGAGCAGATCATTTCAACCTACAGATAGGGCTTGAGCTATGAAACACTTTCTCAGCTCCATGAAACTCACCTCACTCCTTTTTGCTCTGTCACATACATGCCCTTCATAATTTCTCCTTGAACTAACTAGGTCCGTGATGGCAAACCTATGGCCTGGGTGCCAGAGATGGCACACAGAGCCCTCTCTGTGGGTATGTGAGCTATCACCCCAGCTCAGCTCCACCACATATGCATGCATGTGCCTCCCGCCAGCTAGGTGTTCGGGTCTCTGCCACACATGCATGGGGGCAGGGCGCATGCGTGGGGGACACGGGCACATTGCACTTTGGGGGTGCATGTGTGCGCGCTTTGGGCACTCGGTGCCGAAAAGGTTAGCCATCACTGAACTAGGGCTTTCTCCAGTTTGTACGGAGTACAAGAGCTGCAGGAAGCAAGCAACCCACCTTATCCTTGCTATTCCCAAGAGGAAGAACAGAAAAGCTATCACTGAAATTGGCCAGAAGCTACCAGGAGAGAGAGTTCCCAAGATGCCATGACTGTTGTAGGGAGTGCAAAATCCCAGGAGCTGGCAAGTGGAACAGTATACATCAGGGGTGTCAAACACACATCGTCACAGCAGTGTCACGTGATGTATTGGGACTTCCCCCCCCCCCTTTTGCTAAACTGGGCATGGCCAGTGTGTGAGCCATCCAGCACGCGACTTGGGGTTTGACAGCCCTGGGATAGATATTCCCTGCAATGTTTAAAGAATTTAAATAAGCTCTGTGGGTGTGAGGTGCCATGGTGGCAAATATTTTTTAAAAACATGGTCACTGTTTCTTAGGCATAAGAGAAGTGGGAAGTAGAATATCTTCAGCATGTATAGAATAGAATAACAGAATTGGAAGGTCTTCTAGTCCAACCCCCTGCTTAGGCAGGAAACCCTACACCACTTCAGACAAATGGTTATCTAATCTCTTCTTAAAAACTTCCAGTATTGGAACATTCACAACTTCTGGAGGAAAATTGTTCCTCTGATTAATTCTAACTGTCAGGAAATTTCTCCTTAGTTCTAAGTTGCTTCTCTCCTTGATTAGTTTCCACCCATTGCTTCTTGTTCTACCCTCAGGTGCCTTGGAGAATAGTTTGACTCCCTCTTCTTTGGGGCAGCCCCTCAAATATTGGAAGACTGCTATCCTGTCTCCTCTAGTCCTTCTTTTCATTAAACTAGACAAACCCAGTTCCTGCAAGCGTTCTTCATATGTTTTAGTCTCCAGTCCCC